CATCTATAATAATAAAAGCATAATATGCTAATGAGACCGGATGTCCTTCTGGACGACCTTCCAGACGAAGCTGGGGCTGCGAGGGAAGCCCGGGTCCTGGGTGCCAGAGGGAAGCCGGTGCCAGCAGCCTGAGGAAAGGAGAACTATTCTTGCACGAATTTCATGCATCGGGCCTCTAGTTTGTAATAACACATGACGGCTGCTAGCTAGACTAGTGCAGGTGCCAGCGCTGGGTACTGTGGCGATCCCCTTTCCTCCACAGGGAAGTGGCATTTTACAGCCCAAATAACTCTCGGTTTCAGTGGCTGAGAGGAGCCCTACTGTTCCTGGGATTAATCTCTGCAGAATAGAGATGGAAAGAAAATAGTGTATGCAATAGAGACTCACACAGTATTATTATAGAGAATGCAGATGGAGTTACCTCACCTGAATTTCCCCTCTCAGAGCCAATTCAACTGTTAAGTGGCTAAGAGGCTACATTACTGCAAATTAGAACCTCACTCTGATGGCTAAAATATGAGTTGTGGAAGAAACCAAAATGTGTAAAAGTATTAGTAAGCTGAGCTGGGAGATTTTGGTTGCCTGTTTATTTAGTAAACATGATAAAAATACATAGTTCATAAAATTTCCTGTCTTGGTCTCAATGCAGGAAGACAGGGTTTGGGAATTCAGCCTTTGAGGTAGGGGTGTCAGATAAGATACAGGACATCTGGACAAATTAGAATTTCTGATAAAGGATGAATAATTTTTTTTAGTATAAGTGACATTTGGGACATAGTTGCACAAAAATATTATTTATCAGAAATTTAACTATTTTTTATCTTTAAGTATGATAATTATACTTTTAAGGCCTTAAGGAGGGCATATGTACTTAGGTTTCTTTGCCTGCATGAGAGTGGTAAACATGAAAAGCTTCCAGTTCAAGGTGCCAGGCCGAGATAGGAAATGTGACTGACACACACAGCATACAAATATGTTGCCCCAAATAAGTAACAGCTGACCACTGTGTGCAGCCCATCAAAATAGTATCATGAGCGCCTACTCTTAACTTGGTCATTCATCCATTCATGCAACAATTATTTATTGAATGCCTGCTATGTGCCAGGCATAACTTCTGGGAAGAGTAAAAATTCTGGGAAGGTAAAAATCCCCTTCTATGGAGAGTACTTATTTTTGTCAGGTGGGCTAACATGTAAAATTGTAGTAAATGACAGATCCTAAATTTGATCAGAGAGCCATGGGAACATCAAGTTAAGTTTATCTGACTAGGGCAGGGGAAAAACAGGAAGGCTTCATAGAGGAAGTGGCTTTGAATGAAGGAGACTAAGCTGGTGAAATAGGAAAAAAACAATGGGGGGGGGAAAGAAAGGACATATACAAAGGCAAGGAACACGAAGGCATTGTGGATTTTTAAAAGAGCCAACAAAATAGGACAAACCAACAACAACTACAAAAACAGTGAAAAGTCAGGCGTAGCAGGAACTATGCGGGGATTTGGAGGCGGCTGACAGGATAGGGTGGGGCCAGATTAGAAAGAGGCGTCTACTGAGCTCCGACTCCCCTGGGGGCGAGCAGAATAGGGTCAGGCAGTGGTGGGCGAGACTGATAGGGGACGTTTCCAATTCATTCTTTTTTTAAAAAAACGTGTGTGTGTGTAATCTTGTGCTGGATCTTTGGAACATAAAGAACACAATTCTTTCTTATTTCCAGCATTTCACCATCACCCACATTTCCCTTTCTGAGAAACAACTAAGGTGGTGATATAAAATAACAGAACCTGGGGCTGTGTCACACCTCCTTTGTCCCAGAGCAGCTCCTGTGTGTAAATCAAACCAATTCCAGCGACACTGGGCGGGGCGGGGAGCTGCTTTAAGGCTGCGTCATGCAGGGTGTGTTTCCCTCCCCCTCCGTCTGGAGCGGGGCTGCCCTAACCCTTGAACAAAGGCCGGAAATGGTAAGCAAACTGCTGCAAGAAGCGAATGCCTTTCAATCAAACTAGGGCTCGCCAGGCAAGATCTCCCTTAAAAGGAAGCGCCCAGAGAAAGGCGTTCCCGCCGTCCTGGTTCTGGTGGGCAAAGCGCAGCAAACGTGGGGACAACATGCAACGGGCGCCGAGAAACAGGCCGGCGGCTTCCGGCAACGCGCCGCGGGGACCCTTGGGGATACCCAGGGCCCGATCCGCCTGGCACGTGCGGCGTCTGCTCGCTCCTCGGCCCGGGAGCGGCCGCGTGGCCTCCAAGGTTGGACAAAGATGACAGCCTAGTTACGTCCCCAACGCGCCTTGATCCCCCACCCCAAGGTCGCAGGGCGAGCCGCACCCTTCGCCGCCGCCATCTTGTTGTTTTCTTCCCGCCGGGCCACGTGACGCGTCTCTGCGGAAGCCCAGGCTCCCCCACCGCCCCAACTTCCGGCCAGACCGGTTCCAGCCGGCCCCTGCCTGCAGACGCGCAGCTGCCCCCTAGCGGCCGGCCACTTCCGGCCCCGCCCGGCCTGCCGCCATTTCCCTCCCCGGCGGCCGCACGTCAGCGCCCTGCACCACGTCTGCGCCGTAGCGCGGCCCGCCCCGGCCTGCGCGCCCACGTTTTCTGTCGCGTTCACCGTGAGTCTTTACGGGCGATGTAAACCTTAACCGCCTCCCACGTGTACGGAGGGGGTTCTGGGACGTGGTGACCGGAGTTTCAGGTGTTTCAACCAGGAGCCCCCGGCCTTGGCGGCCTGCCCCTGCCCTCCAGCGCCGTCCCCGGTTGGGGCTGGGGACGCGGCCCAGGGCCCTCCCCCACGTCCTCCCTCTCCCCTCCCCCGTCCCCCCCCACGTGTCCTCGCATGTGACAAAGCCCCATGCATATGGCTTCTATTCGGCCAGCACAACAGCCTTTGCGATGGAAGTTGTTGCGTTTATTAGAAGAAAACTTACACCCAGAGAGAGCCATCTGCTCCCGTGGCAGAATTTGCATGGAATCTCAGGGCATCTGAATTCTCACCAGGCCCCGAGGCTCTCAGATGACTCTGCAGAACGCTCCTGGGGCGGGGGGGGGGGGGGGGCTCCCCCGAAATGCCAAACCCCGGGCGCACCACGCCTGAGCTCAAAAGGGGGTCGCGACCCCCTTTAAGTACATCCTGCATATCAGATACTTACATGACGATTCATAACAGTAGCAACATTACAGTGATGAAGTAGCAACGAAAATAATTTTATGGTTGGGTCACAACATGAGGAACTGTATGAAAGGGTCCCAGCATTAGGAAGGTTGAGAACCACCGAAACAGGGAAGGACAAGGGAAATGTGTGAAATGTCAAAAATCCTCCTTCAGAGCAGCTGACCTACCGGGCTAAGTCCTTCCCTTTGCAAAATATCGAAGCCAAAGGCTACTGTGTGACAGGTGCCGGGGGAGCTAGCACTCGGGTTTGGGGGCCAAAGTGTCTACAGAGCCCTGAAGGGTTGGGGTCCATTAGAGGGAGCCCAGGTAAAAGTGAGCAATTTGCCAGGAAGGGAACTAAATCCTATGTTTCTTTTAATCCTATTATATTCCAGTTTGGTTTTTTTTAATGCTTTGATTTTCTTTTTTTAAAATATATCTTATTGATTTTTTTTTTTTACCGAGAGGAAGGGAGAGGGATAGAGAGTTAGAAACATCGACCAGCTGCCTCCTGCACACTCCTTACTGGGGATGTGCCCACAACCAAGGTACATGCCCTTGACCGGAATCGAACCTGGGACCCTCTATCCACTGAGCCAAACCGGTTAGGGCTGCTTTGATTTTCTTGAAACCTTCCCTGGTCTCTCCCCTGACCTCTGTCCCTGGTTAGAGTATGAATGCCCCCCGTTGGCACATCCCTTAGGTGATCTGATGCCGGATCCCAGGGCCCCAGCGTTTGGTCTTCTCCAGGTGGCCTGGCTTCTCTCTCACCTGCTGGTGGTCTCACTCCTGCCCAGCTGACAGATGTGCTTCTACGTTTGAACGGTAGACTCAGAGGTTCCTTTACCTTCTGGGCATTTCCACCTGGATATCTCAAAACCCTTCAAAGTGAGCTGGGCTGGCTCAGCTATCCACTCACCATGGAAGGTCCCTGCGCCCCTTCAGTGTCCCTCCCATCTGCTGTCCTGTCTGAGCAGACACTGGGGAGCCAGCTCGGGCATTCCCCTTTCCTGCCCCCCCCCCCACCCCTTGAGTTCCGGTACTTTCCCCTGCTGCTCAGTCTTTCCCCTTCATCTCCATTGCCCCTACCCTGACCCAAGACACACTCTCCCTCCCTTGATTCCAGTGGTAGTTCCCTAACTGATCTCCCTGCCTCCACTTGGCTCCCTGTCAAAATGCAAAGCTGACCTTCTCAAATGCAAATCAAATCTAGCCACCAGCTCTCTCTCCTGGCAGGGTTAGAAACCCTCAGCGTCCTCCTGCTGCGCGTTCGCCCAAATCACCAATGAACGTGGCTCCCGAGGCCGCTGGTCCCTACTCTTTGGGCTCCAGACACTCGCCTCCCACTGGCCTGGGAGCCTTCAACAGGCTCTTCCCTTTGCCCGAGCTGTCCTTTCCCACCCATCACCTCCCAACTCCTGTTCTTCTTGGCCCATGGCTCCTTCATTTTTGCACTCCCCCAGAACTTACTCTAAGGCATGGTATTTTTTGGGCATGGTTCTTTGTCCATTTCAGCACCTGGACCATAGGTCCACGGAAAGGGACCGTCTCTTCCTTTGCTGGTCCTTGTGTCCTAACTGTGGTGCCAGGCACATAGCAGGCATTGAGTAAATATTTGTTGAATGAATGCCTGAGTAAATACCGAGTAACAGAAATGGCGCTCAGTTCTGAGGACCCGTCTTAATAGCCAATTACTTAGCACCGTGGTCGCCATCTAGTGGTGACAGATGCTATTATACCCCTGGGCCCATTCTCAGTGAGGGTCCTTAGTGAGCTCTCTCCCTGCACTCCTGGCACAGAAGGGAATCAATACACGAGTAAGGAAGACCTGAACTAAATTAAATTAAATGCAGTTGGTTAATTCTCTTGACTCTCAGTAAACATTAACCAAGGGTCTGATTCTTTGGCCACCCCAGGGATTTTTTAAATAATTGAGTCTTACCCACAGTATAGTTATCAGATCGATGCAGTAGAGCGTAACCTGAAAAAGCCCCACTCACATGAGTTTCAGGACAAGGCCTGGACTTTATACACCGTTCTTCTCAGAGGCTGTTCACGTGCAGGCTTCCCGATAGCATCGAATCCAGACCAAAGCCCTACTTCCTTGAATTCTCCCTGAAAGCGCCCAACACAAGCCCAAGTCCCATAAGTCCTTTCTAATGTCCTGGCGCCGAGATTCCCTAATGTCCTGGCGGTAAAGCATATGGACTTCATGAAACTCAGTGTCACTTTCCAAAAAACAAAACATGTTCATCCTTTGCCCTTGAGTGAGGTGGCAGAAGTGGGAGCAGCTCTGAGATGTGGTTATGAATCCTGGCGCCATCACTTCCCAGTGGAGGGACTCTGGGTAGCTTGAGGATTCTCCAGTGTAAAGGGGGACTAATTGTATAGGACTGTGGGTTTTTTAAAAGATATTTTATTGATTTTTTTACAGAAGGGAAGGGAGAAGGATAGAGTTAGAAACATTGATGAGAGAGAAACATTGATCAGCTGCCTCTTGCACACCCCCTACTGGGGATGTGCCCGCAACCAAGGTACATGCTCTTGACCGGAATCGAACCTGGGACCCTTGAGTCCGCAGACTGACACTCTATCCACTGAGCTAAACCAGTCAGGGCTGTCCTTCAACTTTTTAGTGGAAGAATCGGGTACATACACACATCGATGGTACTTCCAAATAGATCAAGAACATAGAACATAGAGAGCCAAGACAGACGGGGCGTAAATGTGCCTCCACCGCTGTACTTGGAAATTTGGGATGTATGGAAGTGGTAAGGTTTAGCAATCCACTGAGGGAATCCCACTTGAAGACAGTGTGTTACTGATAAGCTAAAGGTAAAAAAAAACTTCGATCACCCAGATTTTACATAAATGGAGACTTTTTAACTTTCATAGAAGCAAAACCTGGGGAACTAGTAATTTTTATTTGGAAAAAAAAAGTAAAGTAAAAGTAACTTGAAATATTTATGATGCCCTGGCAAGTGTGGCTCAGTTGGTTGGAGATTCTTCCCGTACGGGTCCCGGAAGGTCGAGGTTCCATCCCCGGTCAGGGCTTGTACTGGTGGCAACCAGCTGATGTTTTTCTCTCACATTGATGTTTCTCTTTCTCTCTCTCTCTTTCCCTGTCTTTCTCTCTAAAATCCATAAAACATTATTTATGACTTAAGGTTTTCAAAAAAATGATGTTAAAGACTCCGAATTTTTTTCTAATAGAAACATGGACTATTTGGATTAAAAATAAGTAGAAAAAA